TTTTCTGAGTAAAATTCTTGCAACTGAAATGCCTACTTCCAAATAATTCTGAAATAGTTATTGGATAAGGATTTACCCTTCTGCACATCAATGTGCTAGGTGAAGTATGCCAAAATAAATGTTTTAGCATGGTTGTTCTCAAGGAATTCACCATGTAGTTTTGGTAGATAACAACATATGAGACATTCAGGAAAGAGAAGAGAACAGCATATAGTAATGTACTCATTATATTCACTACAGTTGCCAGTTTAAAGTACAGGAATTTTAGGAACTGCTGAGTATTTTTGCCTATTATGAGATGCTTAAAAGGTCTAAATCAGCTGCAAAAGATAACAACAGGAGCTCAGGGGTAGCTGGAGATGAAAAGCTAAGTGTTTTACTTGATATCTTAAAAACTGGAGGTCATCATCATTATTAATAATTTTTTTGGAGCCCATTAGTGGTGGTCTCCATGGACACTTGGCTAGTGAGACCTGTACTCCTTCTGCCTTAATGAGATAGCTCAGTTCTCTGTGGCTCAGCTCCATGTCCTCCTTTCCCAAACCCACAGCATTCCTACCTGCCCCTCTTTCCAATGTCTGTTATGCAAGGAATCCTTAATGTTAAACCCATTTCTCTTCTCTTCTAATTTCTTGAGAAAACAAACTCACTCTTCTCTGAAGGCCCATTTTTCCTGATGGTCTTTCCTATAAATGCAAATATTAAGTATATGAACATGACTTTCCCAATATTCTTAACTTTTCTCCTCATGTCCATCATAATCATGGTCTGGATTACTTCTATGTCTTGGATCTACTTTGTTCATCTGATATATTTTCTATAGCTTTCTACAATATCCCTCCTTCTAGTCAGAGAAGCAAATACTACTACTACTACTACTACTACTACTACTACTACTATTACTAATACCTTCTATGTGCCAGAATCATACAGAAAACCCTACAAAGTGGGTAATATTGTCCCCACACTGCAGAGGACAAAACTCAGTATTCAGCAAAGTAACTTTTTTTAGTAACCCAGCTCTCTCAGATTTCAAAATCTATGTTCTTTCTGCTATCCCACAAAGCTGCAAATTATGTCCACCTTAATTCTGCACCTCAGGCCACACCCAAAGTGATATATCTCACATGCAAAGCTGATTGCATCATCCCCCTAATTAAAGCTCTCCAAGACCAAATTCCTGAGACCAATGTACAAGGCTCCCAAGACATGGCCCTCCAGCTTCTTTCTTCCCCACCACTGTCCCCAGTTACACTCTGGTTGTGTCAAGAGGCTTGTGGTTCCCTGTACTGAACAAGTGGCTTTATGTTCTGTTTTCCTGCTCACACATTTCATCTGTTCAGAATTTCTTTTCCGTTTTTATTCATCCTTCAACTTGTCTACTTTTGCAAGAAAGCTTTCCTGAATGGTCCAGGCACCTGTAAAGCCTTCAACCGGGCTTTCATACTGCCCTGAGAGTACCTCTATCCCAACACTTGCTATATTATATTGAAACTAGAGGTTCAGTGCATGAAATTTGTGCAGGGGGGTGGTCTCTCAGCGCAGCCTGCACCCTCTCCAATCTGAGACCCCTCAAGGGATGTCCGAGTACCCATTTAGGCCCAAACCCACTGGGATCAGGCCTAAACGGGCGGTCGGACGTCCCTCTCACAATCTAGGACTGCTGACTCCCAACCACTTGCCTGCCTGCCTGCCTGATTGCCCCTAAGTGCTTCAGCCTGCCAGCCTGATCACTCCCTAACCACTCCCCTGCCAGCCTGATCGATGCCTAACTGCTCCCCTGCCAGCCCAATTGCCCATAACTGCACTCCCCTGCCAGCCTGGTGGCCCCCAACTGCCCTCTCCTACTGGCCCCATCACCCCTATCTTCCCTCCTTTGCCAGATTGGTTGCCCCTAACTGCCCTCCCTTGCCAGTCCGATTGCCCCTAACTGCCCTCCCTTTCAGGCCTGGTCCCTCCCAACTGCCCTCTCCTGCTGCCCATCTTGTGGTGGCCATCTTGTGTCCACATGAGGGCAGCCATCTTGTTTGTTGGGGTGATGGTCAATTTGCATATTACCTCTTTATTAGATAGGATAGTCTCTTTATGTATGGTCTCCTCCAGCCAGCCTATTAGTTCTTTGAGGAAAGGGATAGCAAAGTTTTCACCTTGTACCCCCTTGCTCCCACCAGTAAACAGTGCCTGGCAGAAGGTAACCACTAAGTACTGCTTTGGCGTCTGAAAGGAACATGGAAAGTGGAATCACCTCCCAGTCCCATTGCCACGTTCTGGAGCTTGAAACCAAAGCCTACATTCCAAACCCTCAGGATCTTAGGCCACCTGTTTTCTTCCACAGAATCTCCAGCTTTTGTTGATTGAGTCACGAGACCAACTACCATATTTATAGACAACCACTTTATAACTTCCTCTTATAACTACTTTTGTCAACTTCAAAATTCATGCTGATGATTGCCTGACCAGTTTGGCTCAGTGGATAGAGCATCAACCTGCAGACTGAAGGGTCCCGGGTTCGATTCTGGTCAAGGGCATGTACCTTGGTTGTGGGCACATCCCCAGGGGAGAGTGTGCAGAAGGCAGCTGATCGATGTTTCTCTCTCATCGATGTTTCTAACTCTCTATCCCTCTCCCTTCCTCTCTGTAAAAAAAAAATCAATAAAATATATTAAAAAAAATTCATGCTGATGACTTTTCATGGCTTTTTGGCTTCATGGTTCTCCTTCTTAATTACACCAACCTCTACCTTGTTTCCACTGTAGTCAATCAATAACAAGAACTAACTCTCGGACACATTAATGTACGTAATGCTCTCCAGCAGGATGCTCCACCTCAAAAGACAGAACAGACTGATGGTTGCCAGAGGAGAGGCGGGTTAGGGGACTGGGTAAAAAAGGTGAAGGGATTAAGTAGTATAAATAGCAGTTACAAAATAGTCACAGAGATGTAAAGTACAGCATAGGGAATACAGTCAATAATGTAATAACCAAGTATAGTCCCAGATAGGTACTGGAAATATCAGGGGAACACTGTAAAGTATATGATTGTCTAATCACTATGTTGTACACATGAAACTAATATAAAATAAGACTGAATGTAAACTAGAATTGAGAAATAAAAATTTTAAAATAAAATACTCGGAGAAAAAAAGATGGTAGAAATGAGCTACTAGTCACTGAATGGTTAATTTGCACTAGCTACTCTATTAGGCACCTTATATGTATTTCATTTTCTTAGTAATCTAGTGACCCTTTTACTCATCAATCTCCCAATTCTTCCCCTCAACTTAACCTTCTCTCTAATGGGATCTCTAATAAAAAAATGACTACGAGGCCATAATTTTTACCCTTGTCACCACTGGAATTCCAGAGTGAATCATTCCATTGGGAGGCGTTAAGCCTTGAGCTTCCTCTGGAGGTTACTTTTTGCATTAGGCAGACGTGATTCCCACACTTCCTCCTTTGCACCTAAAGAAATGCCTCTTTCTTTTTCTATTAGGTTACATTCTTTATTGACATGTCTCTTTCTCTACTAGCCCATGAACCTCTGAAGTATATGGATCTAGTTTTATTTACAGTTTCATAAAACACGGCAAGACTCAGTAAATGCTTTCAAAAGAAAGATATTCTTGAAGTTTAAAAGTTTATCCAAGCACAAAAGACCTTTATATTGTATGATTCTATTTATGTAAACTATCCAATATAGAAAAATTTTAGAGACTGAATATTGCTTAAGGCTGGGCGGAGGAGGTAAGAAGAAATAAAAATTTATTGCAAACGGTTTCTTTTAAAGGGTTTGAAAAATATGATGATGTTGGTTGCAGCCACTATAGAAAACAATATGGAATTTACTCAAAAAATGTACAATGGGACTACTGTTTGACCCAGTGATCCCACTTCTAGGAATATATCCTAAGAAGCTCAAAACACCAATCAGAAAGAATATGCACCCCTATGTTCATAGCAGCACTATTTACAATAGCTAAGATCTGGAAACAGCCCAAGTGCCCAACAGTAGATGAGTGGATGAAAAAGCTGTGGTATGTTTATACAATGGAATAGTATGCAGCTGTGAACACGGGTTTCTTACCCTTTGCAACAGCAGGGATGGACCTGTAAAATATTATGCTGAATGAAATAAGCCAGTCAGAAACAGACAAATATCACATGATTCTACTTATAAGTGGAACCTAATGAACATAATAAACTGACAAACAAAATAAGTCTCAAGGCATGGAATAGATTGACATATCTCAGGGAGTGTGGGGGTGAGTGGGGAGACAGGAAGAGATTAACCAAAGACTTATATACCCATATGTATAACAAATTGTCAAAGACAAGAGTATGGTGAAGGCCTAGGGTGGGGCAGGGGCTGAGACGAGGAGGGTAAAGGAGGGGGGGGGGATTGGACAACATCTGTAATACTGTCAACCATATGAAGAAAAAAAAGAAAATGTAGTGATGGCTGTAAAGCCATGTGAATATAGTAAAAACTGAATTATACACTTTAAAAATAATTTTAAGGCTGGCCATGGAATCAGAAAAAAAAACAATAATATGATGTTCCTCCACCATTTTAAAAATAAAGTATATCTTCTCTATGTTTTTGTAAGTTTCTTAAAACAAGGTTCAGCCCAGCCTGCATGTCTCAGTGGTTGAGCGTTGACCCATGAACCAAGAGGTCATGATTCAATTCCGGTCAGGGTGCATGCCTGGGTTTGTGGGTTTGATCCCCAGTAAAGGGAGTACAGAAGGCAGCCAATTGATGATGTTTCTCTCTCTCATTGATGTTTCTATCTCTCTATCCCTCTCCCTTCCCCTCTCTCTAAAAATCAATAAAAACATATTTAAAAAATAAGGTTCACATATTTTCTTAATTGACTTACTCAAAGTTCTTTATCTATAGTGATAACTTGATTAACATATATAGACCGACTGATCAAATAGGGAGCTAAATATGTCATTTAGGTAGTTTGAAGGTCAGAAATTTTTCACATAATTACTTACCTCTTCTAGTTGGCATGCTTTGATGACACTCCTATATCTATACTCATCGTAAGAAACACCAAAGATAATGTTTTCTTTAATGGTGCCAGGCATGATCCATGAAAACTGAGAGCAGAATGAAATTCTTCCACTGTGCTTAATTTTACCCTCAGAAGGCTCCAGTTCTCCCATAATCATCATCAAAAGTGAGGTCTAGAAATGAAACCATTTTTACGTTAGATCATTTGATCAAATCACTCTCAAGATGCTCTTGCCACAAACTGTCATTCTAAGTAAAGCTATCTATTCTAATTTTAAAAGATTCCAATTTTAAAAGATTATAATTATTCATTCAATTCAAAATTTATTAAGTACTTCCTATTGGGGAAGTGAACCAAAAAAAACCAGAAGACCAAAGATGAAACAAAAAGTTATTATCTATAATAATAAAAGCATAATATGCAAATCAGCCAAACGACTGAACAGCAGAACAACCATCCAGACAACTGTCCAGACAACCATCTGGACAACCATGCTATGACACGTACTGGCACTAGGCCAGCCAAGGTGGGTGCGATGCGATTAGTTGGGGGGCCCACCATCACCCCATGATCGCCCTGCAGAGGGAGGCCCAGGCCACTGGGGCGATCAATTGGGGGGCGCCACAATCGCCCCAAAGAGAGAGGTCCAGGCCACCCTCTGCAGGGCAATCGATTGGGGGGGCTCCACGGAACTGGGGAACCAAGGTGTGTGGCAGCAGACATGGGCAGCGCCAGGCTAAGGCGGGTGCAGGCTGGGGGTAGGGCCGTGAGGCAGCTGGAGCCATGATGGCCCCGGCAGCCAGGACTGCGAAGGCCTACCCTTGCACGAATTTCGTGCATCGGGCCTCTAGTTATAAATATAACCACTAGAAAAAAACACACCTAACTTGGGATGCCCTTAGCCTCACACCTTTGGCCCCTTTCTCTCCCACACCCACTAACCCATGCCTTTCCTCTAAAATTCAACAGATTGTTCCATATTTCTATGTCTTGAAACTATTTTGTTCATCTGTTTATTTTGTTCATTATATTCCACATATGTGTAAGATCATGTGACACATTTTTTCTAATGGGATGTCTGTATGTTACCTTTTGATTTTAAGATCACTTTATTTAGAGAGAGATTATTCCTTTGTGTGATATAAATTGCATATATTTATTTTAGTGTGACATTTTTTACTTCTGTTTTCCATGTACAAGTGATTCTTTTTGTTGGTGTGCTGTTGTTTATTAAGTGATTAATAGCTTTTATTTTATGGCTTCTGGACCTTGAGTTATAGAAAGTCTTTCTCCATGGTATTTTTTTTCTTTTCCTTTAGGCATCCTCCAATGTTTACTTTAAGCATTTTATAGTCTTATATTTGTACTTGCTCTTTGATCTATTTCAAATTCATCAGGTGTACGATGTGAGATATGGATACAATTTTTTGTTTGCTCTCCAGGTGGCTGTGCAGTTGTCCAACACCATTTTTTGAATAGCCCATCTTTCTTCAATGTCAAATACTAATTCCCTTATGCATTTGGATCTACTTTTTTAGCTTTAATTTTACTCCACTGGCTCATCTGTTTATTTATGTACCAGTAATTCAACTTGGACCACTATAACTTAATAAAATATCAATATCATTAAATTATATTATTTCCAGGTTAAACATACAAATATATATAGACATACATACTTATATATTTACTAAAGGCCTGGTGCACAAAAATTTGTGCACTCAGGTGGGTCCCTCAGCCTGGCCTGTGCCCTCTCTCAGTCTGGGACCCCTCGGGGGATGTCCACCCGCTGGCTTAGGCCCATTCCCAAGAGGATCGGGCCTAAGCTGGCAGTCAGACATCCCTCCGGCAGCCCAGGAGCCCTCAGGGGATGTCCACTTGCCAGCGGGGAGCAGGCCTAAGCTGCAGTTGAACATCCTTAGTGCTGCTAAGGAAGCAGAAGAGGCTCCCACCACCACCGCTGTACTGGCAGTCGTCAACCTGACTTGTGGCGAGAAGAGCTCCCCCATGTGGGAGCGCACTGACCACCAGGGGACAGCTCCTGCATTGAGTGTCTGCCCCCTGGTGGTCAGTGTGTGTCATAGTGACCAGTCATTCCCAGTCCTTCTGCTGTTAGGGTCAGTTTGAATATTACCCTTTTACTATATAGGCTAGAGGCCTGGTGCATGGGTGGGGGCCGGCTGGTTTGCCCTGAAGGGTGTCCTAGATCAGGGTGGGGGTCCTGTTTGGGTGCCTGGCCAGCCTGGATGACGGGCTGATGGCTGTTTGCAGGATGGTCACAACCCCTTCAGGGTGTCTTGGTTGGGGTAATTTGCATATAGTCACCTGGATTGGTTGGTGGGCGTGGCTTGGGGCATAGCGGGGGTGCGGTCAATTTGCATGTTTCTCTTTTATTAGATTAGACCAGAGGCCTGGTGGATGAAATTCATGCATGGGGGGTGGGAGGGGTGTCCCTCAGCCTGGTCCATTCCCAAGAGGATCGGCCCTCTCTAATCTGGGACCCCTTGGGAGATATCTGAAAGCCGATTTAGACAGGATCCTTGTGGGATCAGACCCAAAGGCTGTTGAACATCCTTCTCACAATCTGGGACTGCTGGCTTCTAACCATTCGCCTACCTACCTGCCCAATCGCCCTCAACTGTTCTTTCCTGCTGGCCTGATTGCCCCCAAATGCCCTCCCCTGCCAGCCTGTTGGTCCCCAACTGTCCTCCCCTGCTGGCCTGATGGCCCCCAACTGCCTTCTGTGCTGGCCTGATTGCCCCAACTGCCCTCCCCTGCCATCCTGGTCACACCCAACTTTCTAGGCTTTTATTATATAAGATGTATATATATATATAAGTAAAAATTTAATTTATATATTTATACATAGTAATATTTTGGTATTTTGAGAGATATGAAGTAAAATTAAAACATCATTCAATATATATAAATGTATAAAAATACAAAAATATTAATAAATCTTCAAAGATACTGTATTTTATTTAAAACATAAGCAAAAGCTGGAGCTAATAGCTTATTCTACACATCTAATGCTCAGTGTTTATGACCCAGCTAAAGCTTAGTGTTAGAGCATGGCCAGGAAAAAGGATGGAGACTAGTGGTGTCATGGGTTATCAGCAAGGCCATAAAGCTGTTTCAATTGTGGTAGAGACAATAAGAGAACTGAAAATCCCCACACCCTGTGGGAGATGTGGTAAGCCAGCCTTCAGTCAAGGGTACCCAGTGGTGCAGATTCTTATACCAGTTACACTTAATTAAAATAATTCAAGGATGTTTCCTAAATGAAAGACGCCTAATGTAGATTAGAACAAAAAACATATAATTTTCTCAAAGATGTTTAATTAAATGTGTAGCTCTGATTTGCATCTCTGATTTGATTACTTCAAGCCCTTTAAATTTCATAAAGAGAACAAGTGTTTCATCATTATCTGAATGATAGCTCATATTCTTAAAGATCACTACAAAGCCTTCTCTTCTCCTGACAATGAGGTTTGAACATTTACCTATTTTTGCTTTTTAACCTACAACAAAGCAAGTAGCAGGAGTGGGGAGGGCAGGAGGCTGACCAGCATGGAATAACTTAACATTCTTATGTATTTTCTTCAAAAAACTATTCCACTTAATGACTTTCCCTCATAGTAAATCATAAGTAAATCTGTGTCCATTCTCCAAAATTATTTTTTAATTAAATTTATTGGGATGACATTGATTAATAAGTCCTATAGGTTTCAAGTGTACATTTCTACGATACATGATTTGTATACCGAATTGTGTGCCCATCACCCAGTCAAATCATCTTCTGTCACCATATATTTGCCTCACCTCCTTCCCTCTGGTAACCACCCCACTGTTGTCTATGAGTTTCAAATTTATATCCCACATATGGGTGAAATCATATGGTTCATAGCTTTTTCAGACTGACTTGGTTTGTTTAGCATAATATTCTTAAGGTCCACCCATGTTGTCCCAAGTGGCAGTATTTCATCTTTTCTTCTTTATCCAATCCTCTATTGAAGAACACTTTGGTTGTCTCCATATCTTGGCCACTGTGAATAATGTTGCAATGAACATAGGAGTGCATATATCTCTGCGAATAAATGTTTTAGAGTTTTTCTGGTAGGTCCCCCAAAAAGAGATTATTGGGCCATATGGTGACTCTATTCTTAATTTTCTGAGGAACTGCCACACTGCTTTCCATAGTGATTGTACCAGTTTACACTCCTGCCTGCAGTGAATGAGGATTCCTTTTTCTCCATAGCCTCTCCAACACTTGTTATTACTTGTTGAGAATAGCTATTTCAGTGGTGCTCAAACTTTTTAAACAGGGGGCCAGTTCACTGTCCCTCAGACCGTTGGAGGGCCGGACTATAGTTTTTTAAAAAAACTATGAACAAATTCCTATGCACACTGCACATATCTTATTTTGGAGTAAAAAACAAAACGGGAACAAATACAGTATTTGTATTTGCATGTGGCTCTCGGGCCGTAGTTTGAGGACCCCTGAGCTATTCTAACAGGTGATAGTTGGTATCTCATTGTAGCTTTTATTTGCATTTCCCTAATAGTTAGTGAAGTTAAATATTTCTGTTGATCATTTGTATGTCTTCTCAGAGAGGTTTCTGTTCAGGTCCTCTGCCCATTTATTAATTGGATTGTTTGGTGTTGAGTTGTATGAATTATTTATATAGTTTGGATATTAACCCCTTGTTGGAGCTGTTGTTTGCAAATATCATCTCCCATTCAGTTGATTGCCTTTTGTTTTATTGATCATTTCTTTTGCTATGCAGAAGCTTTTTAGTTTGATATGGTCCCAGTCATTTATTTTTGCTTTTACGTCCCTTGCCTTGGGGGTCAAATTCATAAAATGCTCTCTCCGACCAAGGTCCATAAGTTTAGTACCTATTTTTTTCTATATAATTTATTGTTTCAAATCTTACATTTAGGTCTTTGATCAATTTTTAATTATTTTTTTACATGGAGACAAACTGCAATCTAGTTTCATTCATTTGCATGTGACTTTCCAATTTTCCAGAAGCATTTATTTAAGAAACTTTATTTTCTCCATTGTGTTTTTTGGATCCTTTGTCAAAAATTATTTGCCCATATACATGTGGTTTTATTTCTGGGTTTTCAATTGTGTTTCATTGGTCTGTGTGTCTGTTTTTCTGCCAAATAGCATGCTGTTTTGATTATTGTAGCTCTGTAGTATAATTTGAAGTCAGGTAGTGTGATACTTCTGGCTTCATTCTTTTTTCTCAGGATGGCTTTGGCTATTCGGGGACTTTTGTGGTCCCATACAAATCTGGAAAATTTTTTTCTATTTCTTTAAAATATGCCATTGAGATTTTGATGGGTGTTGCATTAAATCTGTATATTGCTTTGGGTAATAAGGCCATAATAACTATGTTGATTCTTCTAACCCATGAACACAGAATATCTTTCCATTTCATTAAGCTTTGTAGTTTTCAGTATGTAGGTCCTTCATACCCTTTGTTAAGTTTATTACTAGGTATTTTATTCTTTTGGTTGTACTTGCAAAAGGAATTGGTTTTTCTTTTCTTTTTTCATTTCTCTTTCTGAAGTTTCATTGTTAGTATATAGCAGTGATGGCGAACCTATGACATGTGTGTCAGAAGTGACATGTGAACTCATTATTTTGGTTGATTTTTCTTTGTTAAATGGCATTTAAATATATAAAATAAATATCAAAAATATAAGTCTCTGTTTTACTATGGTTGCAAATATCAAAAAATTTCTATATGTGACACGGCACCAGAGTTAAATTAGGGTTTTTCAAAATGCTGAAACACCGAGCTCAAAAGGTTCGCCATCACTGGTATATAGGAAGGCAGTGGATTTTTGCACATTGATTTTGTATCCTGCAACTTTATTGTATTGGTTTCAAAATTCCAATGTCAAAAAATGCCTGTATGATTTTCCTGGACAAGTTCTGAAAAAATGTGTGTGCCACGGACTGGTAAAAATTGATGGTTCGAATACTATGCTGCTGTAAAAAAGAAGGAATTCTTACCATTTGCAACAGCATGGATGGAACTGGAGAGCATTATACTAAGTGAAATAAGCCAGTCAATGAAAAAAAAATACCACATGATCTCACTCATTTATGGATAATTAAGACCATTATAAACTGATGAACAAAAATAGATACCGAGGCAGAGCAACAGAATGTCAAACTATAGCGGGAAGGCCGGGGAGGGTTGAGGAGGTGGGTAAGAGATCAACCGAAGGACTTGTATGCATGCATATAAGCATAACCAATGGACACAAGACACTGGGGGTTATGGGAGGCTAGGGGAAGGTCAAGGGGAGAAAAAAAAAGGAGACATATATAATACTCTTTGTAATACTTTAAGCAATAAAACAATTTTAAAAAATTGATGGTTCATTTGTTCAATAAAGTTACTGAATGCCCACCTTGTACAACACACTGCACTGAGAGCTTTACAAAATTGTAGAGAGAGTCACTGGTAATAATATGAAGAAATAAAGGCTAGAAGATGTTATCAATGGAATAATTCATATTATAAGATACACTATATCTAAGCATTATCCTAATACCAAAGTAAACATTTCTTCAAAATACCTTTTTATACTATAGACAAACTAGAAAAATAAAGAAGAAATGCATGCCAAATTAAAAAATTGATGATAAAGAATAACATAAACTACCTTGCCTGCTCCAGTAGATCCAGCAACTGCCAACAACTGTCCTCTTTCTATCTTGAAATTGATATCTTTCAGGACAGGAGTACCAAGAAGTGCGATGTTACTGAAGATGATGCTGTTATCGCCATTGCAGATGTTTGTAGTATTATTGTTTTGTTTTGCATTCTCAAATAATTCCCCAAATCCCTGTTAAGAAAAAAACAGAAGATTTAAAAGGTCAGCTTTCCAGATATTTTCAATAGCTATTTATGTATGATGAATTTGAAAAGCACATGGTCCATGATCCATATATTATAGCACATAATTATATAGCCCACGATTTCTAGAGCACATGATCCAAAACAGTTGAAATGATAATTATGGCATTTAATAATAACCATTTTAATGTCTTAGATTATTGCTAGACATCAAATTAAATTAAATATACCTATTTATCTATATAAGTGTTTATATATACACCTCCTGTAGGTTGGGTACATAAACATTATCATTTAATACTCAGCATAATAATAATATTTGTGGCAAAATTTGACAATCCCTTTCTTTCAAAGCTGCAGACTGTGATTCAGAGAGGTTAAATGGCAAGAGTCACATAACTAATAGGCTACAGTGGAATTACAACCCAAATCTGACTTCTACTCTATCATGTAGTACGTTCCTCTGAAAAGCTCAAATTATTTATTTAAGTAGTTATTATTAAACATAAATATGCCCTGGCAAGTGTTGCCTCATGATTAGAGCATTGGCTTGTGCATGGAAGGGTGGCAAGTGCGACTCCTGGTCAAGGGCACATACCTGGGTTGCAGATTCAATCCCAACCCTAGAGGTGGCAAGTGCAGGAGGCAACCAATCCACATGTCTCTCGCATCCATTTTTTAATCTCTCTCTCTGTCCTCTCCCCCTGCCTTCCTTCCCCTCCCTCTAAAAATCAATGGATAAAATATCCTCAGGTGATGATTAACAAAAAGCAAACAACAACAAAAATGATAAACGTGACAATATTGCCAGATTATTTTAATGAATTCCATTTACACAAGAAGGCAATTGTGTCTTACCTAGCTTAGAATAGATTTCAGAAATGAATTAGAGGATAAGGGATTTTAGTTAACTATTTATTTGATTGCTTATTTAATTTTTAATAATTTAATAAGTTAATATACATTAACTATCTCCTTTTTTAAAAATCTTTATTGTTGAAAGTATTACATATGTCCCCTCTTCTCCCCCATTGACCCCTTCTAGCCTGCACCCACCCATTTTAAGTAAAGTTATACTTTTTCTGAGATACAGTCAACTGATTGACTTGACAATGATCACTGACTACATAAATTTATTTATCTTCCATAAATTAAATACACTGAAAGTGCAGCTCCCAAGTTTTGACAAAAATCCATTTTACATACAATAAACAGGAATTACATCTTTTGCCACCACTTAAACTTATGTTGAAAAGTTTATAAGTCAACTTAAACATGTGCCAGAGTTCATAGTTTTTCAAAATCCTTTTACATTTGAAGACTGCTGCTTTGAAACCTTATGTTATAGATGGCTAATGGTCCCTCAGTCATCAGACAACTAAAAGCAAAGCTTTTAAGAAATAATCAATTAAGGTGTTAAAAAATGAGCCCTAGTCCTAGCCAGTTTGGCTCAGTGTATAGAGTGTCCACCTGCAGACTGAAGGTCTGGGGTTCGATTTTGGTCAAGGGCACAAGCCCAGATTGTGGGCTCAATCCCCAGTAGGGGGCATGCAAGAGGCAGCTGATTCTCTCTCATCAGTGATATTTCTCTCTCTCTCTCCCTCTCCCTTCCTCTCTGAATTCAACAATAATATATGTTAGAGAGAGAGAGAGAGTGCCCTGGATAGTTTGATTCAGTTGGTTGGGCATCTTCCTGTGCACCATAAGGTTGCCAGTTTGATTCTCAGTCAGTGCATGTGCCTGGGTTGCAGGCTTGTTCCCTGGTAGGAGGCATGCAGGAAGCAGCCGACTGATATTTTGCTCTCGCATCGATGTTTCTCTCTCTCTCCCTCCCTCTCCCTTCCTCTTTCTCTAAAAATCAACTTTTTAAAAAAAGGGTTAAAAAATGAGACAAAGCTATTTGTTATTCCCTTATTCATTTATTTATCAAATAGATTAAACTTATTGAGTATCACCTCTGTATTAAAGATAACTTCAAAGAATCCCACATGGGAGAATAACATGAATAAATATTAATATTGCAATGTGCTTAGTGCTACAACTGAAAATCATATCAAGTCCTATGGGAGTACATTAGAAAGAGCAGCCGACTCAGCCTGGCGCTTAACCAAGTAAATGATCTACACACTAGGCTATAAAGGATGTAAGTGGGACTTCACAAGACCAAGGAATAGTATACGTACTCTAGGAAGATGGATTTGCATGCACAATGATTTAGGCTTAAAAGAACAAACTATGTGTCAGGAATGATGAGTGGCTGGGTCAGATACATATGACAAGATGACAAAGGCTGTGCTTGGTCAGGTGGGCAGTACAGGCTGTTAAGGAGATTGTGTGGCATGCTTAGAAGGACTTTTATCCAGTAAGACAGACTCGGACCAATGGCAGGTTATTGTTCATAGTAACTTTGATTTCTAATTACAGAAGTAAAATACTAATTTCAGGAAATTTGGAAAATGTAGAAAAGCAGAAAGAAGAAATTACCTATAGCACTACTACTGAGAAAAAAAAAACCTTATTTAACATTTCAACTGATATCCTCCACTTTTACATATAATATAAATGTACATAATATGTAAAACCATATGTAATTTTTACATTAATAAAAATTGTATATAAAGTTTGTGACCTGCTTTTCTGACTTAAAAAAAATGATAGTTTTCATATACCATTAAGAATTCTTCTAAATATATTTTGGTTGCAGGATAGTATCCAAGAGTATATATAAATATATATATGTACTTTGCTACAAATGTGGAGTACATTCTTTTTTTTTAGTATAAATTTTGGCAAGTGAACTTTCCAAAGAGAACAGTTTATAAAATTCCAAGTCCTTTGGAGAGTAGTCCAAAATTTTCCTCCATCAATATATGATAGTGATAGTTTTTCAAGGACCCTTATCAACACTGTGGCTTTTGTTATTTGTTTTGTCCTCTTTTATAGTTTTCTAGGTGAAAAGGGAATCTCACTATCAGATCTTAGCCTTATTGATTTGTTCCCTAGTAAGGCTGAACATTCACCATATTTATGAACCCTATATAGCTGTGAGTGGAATGGTTTTGATAGTATTTGTATTAACCTCACTTTTTGTTTCATCTTTTCAACTAGCTGAGTCATGGTTGACAAGTCATTATAACATTCTGAGCTTCAGTCTCCTGAGTTATTGAGGTAATATATATAAAGTTGTTTTGTATACAGTAAAGCAATAGTCACTCTTTAAAAAAATCAGAGGCAGTAATGATGAGTGGAAAAGGGCTCTGCAGTCAGAGAAACCTAAGCTAATCTTCTAGCTCCACCCTATCTAGTTGTATAACCTCCTTCCAGTAACTTAAACTTTCTAAGTCTCAGCTTCCAACAAATAAATAGAAATTCTACCTACTCATAGGTTTGGAGTGAGGAAGGTGTCATATATAACTCATCAGGGACTTACCTCCTGGATAACTGCGTTGATGGTGACATCATCAAAGGAGAAAAAGAATACACTGGAAACTGGGGGAGTGATAAATGTGAAGGGCTTGAGGAGCACATAGAAAATTTGGAATACATACATGAAGTTCAGGAAAGTGGGGCCAGAGATTTGCATTTGAGAGTCATTAACTCCATGTCCTCAAGGGTGAGCCTGGGTGAGGTCACCCACAGAGAGCATGAAATGCTAGGAGACTTAGGTGGAGACTCAGTGGCCCACCACTACTGAAATGGCAGGCAGGGATGACTAGAAGTCACAGTCTGAGGACACAGTGATGTGGAAAGTGAGGATACAGACAGACATGAGTCAATGGTTCAGTGAAAGGGTTATAGGTGGTGACATTTGGGTCCAAAATCTGGCTTCAGCTCTTGACAGTTGTGTGAGCTAAGCCAGTTACCATCACCTTTTTAAGCCTCCATTTCCTTATCATTGAAATGAAAATGTTAATATTACTAGCTCATATGACTATTTTGAGAATTAAAGGAGACAACACATACTTACTTTTAGGAGAGTGAAACTGAGGACTTTTGTCCAAGAGTAGGAAAGCAATTGTTTGAAAATAGTTGTGGAAAATGTCAAATTTATTTTTCCTTCATACCTAGAAGGGCATTTGAAATTTCTAAAAGCAAAAAAGTAATATCAATCTGACCCACACACTTTTCCACAAACAACTTTGCTAGTCAGATAAAAAATTATTCTCTTGACCAGAATCCTAATAAAAGATAGTTTTAGGTAAAATGAAAAAAAAAAGAATTATTCTCTTACCTATATCTTAAAACATGAAGTAAAGTGAAGTTATGGTGATCATGTTGCTTATAAAACAAATTTAAGATATTGTATAGTATACAGAAATAGGACATTAGTTTCATAACTTCTGTCTTTACACAGATATCAGTGATAAGAAATAGGAACTCAACAGAGCTTCTCAATAATCAGATATCAGATATTGCTTCATTAGAGGCTGAAAATCATTGGTAAATATATTTTCTCACTTTGAGAAATATGAGGATTATTTAATAATAAATTAAAATGAGCACAAATCATAGAAAACCATACATTGGTAGAGATCTCATACATCTTTATGTTGACTGGAGTCTAAAGCACTTGGACTGGAACTTGAGATCAGATAAGGTAGCATTTATTGAGGAATTATTATGTGCATGATATTCAGCTGAACACTTTACATAAGTCTGCCAGGTGAATATTAATATTCCCATTTTACAGGTGGAGAATCAAAGGCTTCACAGAGTTCTATAACTCTATCTAGATTACACAGAGAACAAACAGCAGAACCAGGATTCAAATTCAGCTCTACCCAGATCCAAAATCAATGAACTTTGTATTACTTCCTGATATGTTATGTGAAACAAGTTATAAGACTCAAAAAATGTAAAGAGGTTTCAATACTCTATTTAACATTCCTGAGCCTCTATTTCTTAATCTATAAAATAAGTAGAGTGGTTCGCCTTCCAGTTCTAACATCATTCTCATTGTCCATTAATATGAAAATGACATTCACACGAAAAAATGCTTAAATATTTAAGTAAATTTTTTTAATTCTTACCTCTTCCCAGAAAGCTGTTACATTCTCCATCACTACTTCTGTAGTTGTTAAGTTATATTCCAATGTCTTGTACTCTTGCTTTTGTAAGAAATCCTGTTAATAAAGACAGAGCAAAAACATTGTTAAGTTATATTCTAATGTTTTATAGACCTTATAAAGCACCCTGCACTGGCGAATTCACCTCAATTAGGACAAAGAGAAAACCAGTATCTTTATCTTTATGGCAACCCCACCCCTTTTTAGAAGCATCATTAGCATCACTTCTCTGGGTTAAGTAAGGGTGTGAAGTTCTGATATAACTGATTTTAAGGCATCAAACCTTGATTCTAAAAGGGCCCTATTAGAGACTCCCATTCACAGTGTTCTGTGGGCAGGTGGGAGCACAAGGAAGAATTAAGCCCAGGCATCCTGAAGTCTTCACCACCAGGGGTAATGAAACCAGCCTGGTCCTTGCCTCCTCGCTTTCCCCCTTCCTTCTCTACTTTTCTCTCTCTTGCTACTTCAATTTTGGTTTCTCTCTTTTTCTCTAATTTTTTTTCAAGATCTGTGTTCCTGTTCAGTGGCCCCTCTCTGTCTCTGTGACACTCATTTTCTCATTTCTGGTCTATGTCTGTTCTCTCTCTCTCTCTCTCTCTCTCTCTCTCTCTCTCTCTCTCACACACACACACACACACACACACACACACCTGTGATGGTTTAAGAGAAGGAATAAGATTAGTCCAAGACCTGCTATGGTTTTGAGCTACACTCATCAATTTGCCTAAATTGCAAATCTCAAACACACTTTTGAAACATGATAAAATTAGGAGGAAGAGGACCCCTTTACTATATATTCCAATCCTTCAAAGGAGGCTGAAGATACAATTTGTTGCATATGTGACATCCCCTCATTTTTAAATGCTGGCAAATAATTCTATTTTTTTTTCTTTTTTTTAATGTGAAGGTCAAATAAAACAGGTCTAGGGGCCAAAAGTAGGTCCATGGGCCACAATTTGCAAACTCTGGCCTACATTAAATAATGGCAGAACCATTTAAAAGTGGCTCACCTTTCATCACCACCTTTATGTATATCACAGTGATTTATTTTCTGGGTTAAATATTTAAATAGTATTTTAAAAGTATAATAAAACATTTTCACCTGCATATTAATTATAAAAAATATAACTACATACAAGTTCATAGTAGTGATTAAATTAGCTTTGTATAAACTTGAGTCTCATCACTTGAGGATTTGAGAACTTTTCTTCAGAGCTCCCAGCTACATCAGCATTGCTGGGATTTTAAGATAATTCTTGTGATATAAAATGCCACTCACATCCACCATATTGCCCAAGGAAATACTTGGAAAAGTTTGAAGTGAATATTCCTAGAGTTAGCTGGAAAGTTCTTTAACTTCCTGGTAAACCTGCCACCATCTTTGTGCACATTTGTCAAGTGCATGAGAATAACCTATTGATTGATGATTTGAATAAAATTCCTCAGAATACAGAAACAATATTTTCTGCAATTGCTTTGACTTGAGAGGATCTCACAGGCTTTTATTTTATTTCAATAAACTTCCATTAGTAGGGCTTGTTAGACCACATATAGACGTCAAGAGAGAAAATTCTGAGCATCAAACAGGCCCAAGACAGTCTGCCCACTATTAAAGTTCTAAGCTATTCTCAAATCATTGTATACAATACAATGCCCACTTTTGGTACGTTACCTGTATTTTGTTTATTGCTCCAAGAGAGTCATACCATGTCTGTACAGCCCAGGGAAATTGCCGAGTGATTGCCATGCGCAGAACGATGCAGAAAGAGATGGTCGTGAATATTTTTCGAAGAACGACTCCTTTATAAATGCATAGGGAAGCACAGACAAAAACACCACAAAGAACCCTGAGAAGAAGAAGGCTGAGCTATTGAAGTATCTCACGTAGGCTGCCTTCCGGGTCAGTTTCAGTTCTGATCTATAAAACAAAATAGTAAGATTTGGGATGCTTATTTACTTTGCATCTTGCAATCTGAACACAGGCTCACAAGGCTTTGTGCCCCGCGGCAAGTTATTTAACTTATCTGAGCCTCAGTTACCTTATCTGAAAGAGGAATAGAAATGAATGCATCAGTATTTTGTCCATAATACCTGTAAATATTTCTAACCTATAACTACTAAGCTCAATTATTATTACATTACTTTCACACCTTTATCACTTCATTATAATTAGTAAGATTTGTGAAACTTTGATAATTTTTGTTTTTTGGTTGGTGTTTTAAGTGATTAGGTGTAATAATGAGGACAATGTTATAAGATTTATAAATAAAAAGACAATTCTGTGGTTCCCTAATAGGTTCTTAGCACTTTAGAAATTCTAGCTTGGCTTTGGGGAACACTAAAAATAGCATATATATATGAGTGTTTCAAAGAAACCAAGATGGAGGCATAGGTAAACACCAGAGATTGCTGCCTCACATAACCACTTCAAGAATACAATTAAAAGACAGAGCGGGCATCATACAGAACCACAGGAAGGCTGGCTGAGTGGAAATACTACAACTAGAAGGAAAGAGAAAAGCATGCTGAGACTCAGAGGAGCTGCGGTGCAGAAGTTAAGTGCACAGGTACGGAGGTGGATGTGGAAAGGGCTGGCGGCTGAGGACACGGTTGGCTTTTTCAATTGGGGGGGAGTCTCAAAGTCCCTACTGCTCTGAACTCCAGTTCCAGGCGAGTCTCTGGGGACCCTGACTGATACGGGGAGAGGCTAGAGACTGTCTGGCATCGTTCGCATCTCAAGGGCGGCTTTCTCTCAGAGGTGCTTGCAGCGATTACCCGGACCTGAGACTTGGGGCCTCTTAGGGAAGGACTGACGATAAGCCATAGCTGTATGCTCCACCCTATTGATCCCCTGGGACCCTGCCCCGCCCAGGCTGTGCACCATGGAGGTTTTTGCAATCTGAAAATTACCTAACAAACTTGCAGCTGGCCCAAGGCCCCATGGCAACTTGCATTCCTTCACAGCTGAGCTCCAGCTGAGTAGCCTCAGGCAAAGGCTAGATTAGCACCTCCTGAAAGATCCAGGAACCAGTAGAGTGACTCAGTGAGCACCAAAGCCCCACTGAAGAAAAGTCTTGCCCTGGAGGGTGTCTCCTGCACAGAAGCTCTTCCATTTAAGATGCAGCTGGTTCTCACAGCCAATTGGCCTGGGGTCCAATTCCTCCCAGTG